GAATGCATGTCACAAATTATGTACAGCAGCAGTGACGTGCCAGTCTTTTGAAATATTAAAACTTATTCACAATTTACAAGAAATATTACAACATAAATCTGGTACATTAATTCACGTATACAAACGTTTTGGTAAATGTAATAAGCAGAAAACTCTTTATGGGCTCTCAAAAAACATTTCATTGTGTTATTCACGCTAGACTTTGTTATTATCAACTCAAAAGTCAATTTGCACAGAAACTTAAATATTTAAAGGATAACAGTGTGTCGCATATTTCTTGGCGTGGCCAGAAACGCTGTCAGAATAATTTTTAAAGACGCCATATTTAAACAATGTTTCACTGAATGTGATGCATTTCATTAGATCTCAGTTTCTCTCCGAACTGCAATCGAAACAATATTTACCTTTAATTTACAATAACATCGTAAAACAATCTGTACAAAAGTAGTTTAATGACAATCTAAAAAAAAAAGAAAAAAAGAAGAAGAGGTAAATATTTTTGGTGGAGTGTTACCCATCACTTTCCATCAGCTGTTTCAAATATGCGTCAATGGGACAGTTCCATTTACTCCGGCAGTTGTGCTCTGATAGTGCTGCGGTAAGGCATGCAGTCTGCTCTGCACAGACGGATCCCCGGACTCCCCGGTCGGTAAATACATGCTTATCATCTCTCTCAAGTCTCCGGTGCAGGGTACTCGGGAGTGTGTGGTAACCGGAGGGCTTATATTGGGTTCGGACTTCACGAGCGAGCTCAGCGTGCCGATGGCCGCAGAAGTGGCGACGCTGGAGTTTTGATGCTGCGCGTATGATATCCCACCGTAGCCGGACGGGGAAGCGCTCATGTAGCTCTGGGAGTTCGAGATGGGGCTGTACTGAAGAGCAGTCATGTCGTAGCGGTGCATGGGCTGAGGATTGTGCGGGTGATGGTGATGAGCGTGGTGATGGTGAGACCCACTACCTGGGTGCTGGCTGTAAGCGAGCTGAGCCTCCTGCATCATCGCAGCCGCTGCTGCCGCGGCGGCCACCTGTCCGGAGTAAGTGCCATTCGCCCAGCCGTTCATGTGTGCGTAGCCGGCGCTGGCCGAGCCTCCGTGACCGCCAGGACTCTCCAACCTCTGGCCGACCCCTGCAGGATTCATTCCGACCCCGCCACCTGCACCGCCGAGCAAGCCGCCAGCCAACGAGTACTTGTCCTTTTTAAGCAGGGTCTTGGTTTTGCGCCTCGGTCTGTATTTGTAATCCGGATGCTCTTTCATGTGCATGGCTCGCAACCGCTTCGCCTCATCAATAAAGGGCCGCTTTTCAGCCTCTGACATCACTTTCCACTCAGCACCGAGTCTTTTGCTAATTTCAGAGTTGTGCATTTTGGGGTTCTCCTGAGCCATTTTTCGGCGCTGGCCCCGGGACCAGACCATGAAAGCGTTCATGGGTCTTTTAACGCGGTCTTGGTTGGCTTTGCTCCCCGAATTTGGACCCGTTTGCCCCGGATTCGTGTTAGTTTGGGGTCCAGGGGAATGAAGGTCCGTCTCCATCATCATGCTATACATTCAAGTGGCTTAAAAGTTTTCAGCTAGCAGAGAAAAAGCATGAAGTTTCGGCGCTCAGTAGTCCGCTTAAAGCAGGTGCTTCACGAGCCAGTGGAGCTCCGGCGAAATGTGGAATTCAGCTTATTCCCAACCGTTTGCTGTTTCAGTTTCAGGGTCTCTTTTTGCTCCTGTAGCCTGTTTGTGTCGTCTCCGACTGCCGTTTCACATCCACATTAATTGAACGTGCATTTGAGTTACTTTTTCTAGTGGAGTTGAAGAGTTAGTTAAAGCGGCGGCCATATGATGCGTTTTGACAGCGATTAAAATGAGCGAGTGGCCAATGGCGTTCCAGTGAGGAGCGATTTGCATAGAGTTCGGTGGAGTGACGTAGACAGCGAGGAAAGAACTAGTAGGCGGGGTGCGCGAAGGGTCAGCACCGCCCCCTTTAAAGTAGAGTAAATACTGAGGTAGCAGTTTGAGCCTCTTCAATGGTTGCAATAAACGAATAAGAGGACAAATGGTAGATTTTATCCATTTAGATGACATTACAAGATACGATCTAACTCTTTATAATAACTGTAATAGCTGCAATGCTCCCTCGTGACGTTTTGCCAAATCTTTGTGTGTAAAAAAAAAAAAAAAAAAACTCCATGGTAGACACACTTGTCAGCTATGTTGCTAAATATCTGTGATTTTAAAATCGGTCGAAATTCATTTATCACTTATAAATGCTTAAATGCTCACGTATGCTTAAAAAAGAAACCCTTTTCACTTTGCATTCAGCTTGCTAACATCTTATTTTGCCAAAGATAATCAACGCAACCAATTCACTTAATAGCCTACCTAGAATTGTTTCACTGAAACCAAACAAAACACCATATTATTTTAAGAGGTAAACAACATAATTTTAAATCGAGTTTCTTAAATCGAGGATAGGCTACTGTCGTCTGGTGGTGCACTGCTAAGATTTTGTTAAATTAATAAAATTAATACGGAAAACTTAAATTATTTCAAAATAAAAATATAGGCTAATGGATGCAAGGCAAACATGAAGGCGTTGTTTGAATGAAAATCAGACTGCAAATTTTATCAAGCCTATAATGCAAGGATAATTGTACAAAATGTGATCCAATCGCACAACCAATCGCTAAAATGTTGCTGGACAGAAAAAAATAACCTATTATTCCGCAATCAACTGCGAATACACACAAGACATATCATTTCAATATATATATATATTCTTTAGAGATGTTGGTAGCCTATAGTCTGCATTTTTGAATTGGGCTATCTGACGCAGCTATAACAAGAACGAAAACATGTTTTGACAAAAGTGAGTCAGGGCTTTCCATTGCCCCCAAAAAACAATAGTTTAGATGGTCTTTCGTTTACTTAGTGATGGTCTCCAGTGTCTAGCCACTCATGTTGTGTTGAAAAAATAATTAGTTTCTTCATCTTTTTTCCTATGATTTTGATTAAAAGAAAATATTATATTTTGAGAAATGCAATAATTGAATGAAATAATTTTACTACACACTAAGAAATATGAAAGGTTCTACAAATTATTTGAAAGTAATTGTTTTTTTTTTTTTTTATTTAGGCTATATTTTGTTTAAAATATTCCAACACCAAAGCAAGCCCATCAGCAACACTATGAACAATAATATTATAAATAGTCTATAATATAATCATACATTAGTGGAAATTATTGTAGGTATGTTATTATTATTATTTTTTTATAATAAAAAAAATGTACAGCAATTTGAAGCAAGCTTCAAAAAAGAATACCGATTTCAATTTACTTTATTTTTTTTGTAATTTTGTTAGTTATGGCAACGATTATGCAGATTAAATAACACGTTTTTATTTCATTTTATTTAATTGACCTTTGGATTAGAGCGCTAAACCACACTGTGGCCCTCCTGAAACAACGTGCACTGTCAGTTCTCTTTTTGCTTCAGTGTCGTGCTCTTCACATGAGTCTTTGTTTTGCGCGTGCTGGGGGCAATAGGACACTGTTAGCGCACGTGCGAGAGCTGGGGTGTCCAAAACACACACCATTGAAGTAAAATATTAGAGAGATGACTTTGGTAATTGAAACAAACAAACAAACAAACAAACAAACAAACAAACAAACACACAAAAAACAATGAAAGACTGAAAAGCAAAAATGAAGTGTATTGCGATCGTAGTTCATAAAATATTTTTGTGTCAGAAGCAGGGAATGGGGATGGAACGAGGGGACTGGGATATAATGTATGATGCCAAAATATAAATAAGCGAAATGGGAATTGATTGTTTAATAAAATAATATATATATATATATATATATATATATATATATATATATATATATATATATATATATATATATAGGCCTATATATATATATATGTGTGTGTGTGTGTGTGTGTGTGTGTGTGTGTGTTGAGCTGTCCATTAACATGAAAGTATTTCACTGCAAAATGTAAGCGTCTTAAACTTGTTTGTTGTTGTAGACTTGTTTAAACTAATTTGGTTGTTTAAGTCCTTTGTGTGGCTCTTCTTCTGAACAGGTCAACTTAACAAAGGGCTGTGGTAAGACGAGGCTTTAGACGCTTGCAAATTATCGTTAAACAGATAATATATCAATCTGTTGATCAATACTCTATCTAAAAGTTCATGAATACAATATTCAGATCAAAGTTTTTTTAAGAAAAAAAAGACGTCGTTAATTAGCATAAATATACTGGTTTACATATTTCGAAACACATAGCCTATTTAATTAATTTAATTTAGGCTAATAGTATTTAACTTTATTTAAACTAATTACATTTAAACTTTATTTATTAAATTTAAATACACGTAGGCTACACCTGAGCATAGCAGGTTGTCTTTTAAAGCTTCAAATGCAAAAAACAAAAACAAAAAACAAAACAACAACAACAAAACAAACAAACAAACAACAACAACAACAAAAAAACAACGTAACGAGCAAAACTGTCTGACATAGGCTAGTCTCCGCTTAACGCTGTAGCGTATTATAAAGGCTATCTTTCGACAAATCTTCCGGTAAAATGCGACTTTACAGACACTGGACTGACCGGTAGTCTGAAAAAAAGCTAGTCTCCGGTCTGTTCACAAGGGGGGAAAAGCGCGTTAATATCTCTTATCCGACACAGTAGCCTAGCTATATCATTCGATCATGTAGCTCAGTCGCCTATAACTGACGGCAATCACAGTTTTCCGTTTACAGGCTTTATGACGTGCTTACGCATTTCATATAACCTAATCTGTTAGCCAGGCGACATAACTGTCTAAAAATATCAAGTTTCTAGATGAGAACATTCATTTACAATCAGTTAATATATCCAGATGTAGCCTAAGATTTTTGCCGGAAAATAATACATATCAACCTAAATTTGGTTTTAAGGCTAGGCTATATATAAACATTCGTTGCACTGTCCCTCATTTGCAGTGATGTAAAATCGTCCTTACCGGTGCTATTGCTGTCCTAACCCAGCCAAAGCCACTCGCCAGACCGCCATCCTTGCTAAAATTCTACCCTTAGTGTGCCAAGGCCAGCCATACCCAGCTCCCAGTCCCACCACTCACTACACACTGAGGAGAGAGACAAGAAAATGAAATTTATTATACTCTAAAGACAATTTCAAGTTATTGTTTCTCCCGGGGAAAGGGTTCCTTCTTACATAATAAAGCCCCTTTTGTGTGACGCGGAACAATACAAAACAAGTATTCTAATAAATAGCCACTTTTTTGTTCCCTCTCGAGGATGAATGGAATTGAGCAGTTGGGTTTGAAAGCAGCTGCTCGCGCATTCAGGAGAAGGGGGCGGAGCCCTGGCGCGAGGCGTCTCTGCTCCTTGGAAACGAACTTGAAGAACGGACCCGGCGGCAGCATCACCGAAACAACGGTCTGCAGCCCTCACTCCGACATCACCTCTAAAGTCTGCCCCACCGCCCTGCATGTCGCTGAAGAGCATTATACGCTCAATTACTAACCCAGAAATTCTCACTCTTCCTAAACTTACCAATTAGGCCTACCTTAAATCCTGATGAATAGCACAAGTAGGCTAGCTACTTCAGGTACAGCTAAAAAAAAAAAAAGAAGTTAATTTCTGCAGACTATATTGTTAGCTACACCCACACACACATAGCCTACACATGGTCGACGTTAACTTAAAATCTTATTATTTAACTGTGTAGCCTATTTTCATTATTTGACCAACAATTAGACATTTAGCTTGTTGAAGACCTATCTTGTAGTTAAACTTAAGTAAAATAATACCTCACTCTTAGAAAAAAAAGGGTTCATTGGGGTTATATATATATATATATAGTATATATAATGACAAGAAAGAACCCTTTTGGCACAAAGGTTCTTTATAGGCTATTATTCATTCATATATTACATTATTCTGCAACATTTTGTAGTTGTAATTAAGTTATTGTTTATTAAACTGTTGTAGGAACTTTTTAATCATGCTGATTTTTGGAAGATAAACTGAAATGTCACTCTTCGTGTGATATTGATTAATTACATTTTTTAACCCCCATTTCTTGAATTTTGTGATCATTCACATGCATTGAATTAAAAAAAATATAGAAATTATAAATAATTATTCCACCAAACAGTTGTTTAGTAAGGCTACACTGTTTAAAAAAAGGGGAAAATGTTGCTGCCTTAAATTTAATACAGTCACTTTGAATAAGTCTTTTAAAAAAATGAGTTGAATCTTGCATCTTTTTGTTTTTTTTGTTTAAACTTATTTTGATAAGTTAAAGCAATGTAAAAGCACATCTTGTCATAACTCATAATCATGTCATTTTTTACAGTGTACAGGCACAACTTTCACTATAGGGTAGGCTACATATTAAATAACTTTATAAACCACAAACATGTTTGTTCTGAATCCATTCAAGGTTTTTGGGCAGCAGCAGCAGCTTGCCACCACATGGTTCTGACAGGCTTTCATAGTGGAAAACTGTTGTGTCGTCGTTCAGACAAACTCACAGAGAGACACATCATTGCCATCTGATGGCAAACATTTACCTTGCCTTCGGTCTCGATGCCCCGTGCTCTCAAAACTTTGGGCATCTTTTTACTTCTTCTATAATCATCAAAATTCAAAACATTTCAATGCCACTGCGATGCTCGTTCAGGTAGGATAAAGTATAAGGAAAGAGTAAGGCTAACACATAACATATATGTGCATGCTGCATGAGCAAGATAACATTTAAATTGCTACTCCACAAACTCACTTAACCTGACAGCAAACATCAACTCACTACTCCAAAAACATGAAGTCTTGAGGGTTTTTCCATCAGCTGCAAATAATAGCATTTGCTCCCCAAGTAGGCGCTCCCTCAGCTCCAAGTTAAATGCCATAATGACCTCTTTAGGGATATTATCAATGATTGAAGGGAATATATTCCAGACAGTCTAGACTTCATCAGATGCCTCATGATACCCAATGAAAAGAAAGCCTGTCACTTGTTAATGCCTAAAGGCATCCACTGCAGGAGAGCCAAACCACACACTCAGACACGGAGTCAGTTCGCAAGTCAGTTTGATTCTGCACACTCAATCCAATTCATTTCTCCCTCCCTCATAAATATTAAACATGGGAAGAACTTCAACATGTAGACAGCAACTATGTATATTTACACAGATTTCACCAAATGAATGAATGAGAAGAATGAATACTAAATAGGCTACATGAATACAGTACGCTCTAGCATATAATGAACAGTGTTATGAAAAGTAATTACATGGCAACAGGCAGCGATTAGGTTTATCCATATCTAACTGCCCTTAATTTTATGCCGAAATGTGCATTGGAGCTCGGCGCTATCCGGTGCCATAGTGTGTGCAGCATCTTCACAGAATCATTAGCCCCAAACAGAGACTTGTTGAACCCCATCAACAGCACGACTCTGAGCTCCATCACTGCACAGTTCATTAATCTCTCACCATGGCTTTTCTGGCTGCCAGTGGTTAAACACCCCTTTCTGAGTATAGCTCTCCTTCACCAGGATACCGCTGTGTTAATTTCCTCTCTCTATTAGCACAGCGCAGTTAATCAGGTTTCCTCTCCCCAGTGGTGGTATGAGCAGGAGAGCCGCGAGCAGGTGTCAAGCCTGTCTGTGTTGCAATCTGTCTCCCAACTTCACCACAGCAGGATAATGGAGGACTCATATGCAGCTGATTCTGCCACCGCTATTGTGTCCAATCTGTTGCATTAAACACTTGGCACACGTAATTACAAATAATCCTGCCTTTTTCTCCCTCTGCCACAGATCTCTCTCACTCTCCTGTGTAAACAAATACTGTAACCGTCTACTAGCAGGCCTCATTAGTATTTGTCGATATCGCTCTGCTGGGTGGAATGATTTGCTTGTTTTTGGCAATTACGCCCTCATTACGAAGATTAGTTTGAGCGAAGTCGTGTACGTTTGCCGATCATCAAATTGTAACTCAAGTCATCGAGTTTTATCAGTGTAAATGAACTCCTAAAGTTTAATCTGCTTGAAATATGTTACAAGGTTATGCTGAAGCCAAAAAAATGAAATGAGTTTAAAAAAAAATTGTAACATCAAAACATCTCGGTGTCAAAAAGATTCAGGGATGCAGCTAATGGTAAAAGTGAAATCACATTTGAAGGCATAACTTCCTCGGTCTGTTTACAGATTCATATGGTGGTGGAGAGAAAAGCGCCCTGTTGATTTATGCATCATTAGCAAAAATGCTAAATATACTGAAAGGCGGAACACATTTCGGCATAACCCTTTGTACTGAGATGAAACAGCAGTCACAACACAGCTTTGAAGGCTCCTCATATCTCTGTCCAGAGCTGTCTGCTGCCTTGTATGTTTTAAAACACACACAAATAAAAAGAGAGCGAGATGAGGCCATGAGACCAAAAAGGAAGAAAAATTGTAGGGTCAAATCTAAAGGAGTGATGGGGCTTTTAAGTCCAAAGAGGTCCTCCTTTCCTCTCCAAAATGCATCCAACTTCACCAGACTTCACCAAAAATCTCTCAATTTAAAGACTGGAGTTAAAATTATATTAAAATGTGAAGACTGTGTCAGAGAAATATTTCAATATTAAAAATGTTACATGCACCACAATAAATGGTCAGTGCAAATTCAGGTGCAAACCTTTTGAGTTCTTGCTTGTTATTCTAAAAATGAAGTAAATATAGGTAATAATAATGTTTTATAATATTTTTGTATTATTATTAGATACAGTAGCTACAAAACTTAAGATATTTTTCAGAACGAGTCAAGAAGCAAATAATGTGTATAATGCACAAAACAAACAAAGTGACAAGATTATGCCTGCAAGTTTATACCTGCATGCAGGCCACAAAAATCTCAGGATAGGAACATTTACAAGAAAAGTTAACTTGGCTAACCTTCAAATAATGCTACAGCTCTTCTCACCGGACATGTTAAGGTATTGCTCAGGATAATTTCATTAAAAGACACAGGATGTTCACTCAGAAACCAATCATCCATTATGCAAGAAAATCTATCCATCACACAGTGAGTGTATATACCCATTATCCAGACATCGATGGGGTGTTTTTCTTATTTTCATTTTTTTACCCATCAATTACGGCAAGATTTTAAGCATTGTTCCACTCCTCAATTAGCCGCAACACCTTTTCCTTTGATTGATCCATAATGAATGTAATGGTTTTAACAGACCACAGACAGATCACTTAGAGGAGCTCTGCTAATGGCAGTGGCAGCTCCAGGCCTGGAGTGATGTCAGTTTCTCCAAGCCCTGGCTAATTAGACACTGTGTCGCTCATTACCCAGGTAATAAGCCCTAACGCTAATGGGTATCAGGCAAGACCCCCAAACACTAGAGAAAGGCAGAGAGAGGCGGGAGAGAGGACGGGAAAGAAGATGAGGGGGATGTTAACAGGCAAAGGGTGTGAGAGAGAGAGAGAGAGAGAGAGAGAGAGAGAGAGAGACAAGAAAATGTAAGCAAAGAGAAATCGTGAGAGAGTTTTCATGATGGAGAAAAGAGCGCAAGATGAGCGGATCTTACAACGCTAATGCATTTCAATGCTGTGCCTTTTAATATAGCACACCAGTCCTATTGGTCAAGAGTAAACATGTCATTTTCAGTACAAGGTAAAGGCACAATGGTTGCTATGCAGTGGATGGAGGGCTGTTGGAGGGGGAGAGTGTTGGTTGGGGGAGGAAGGAATAGATGGGGCTGGCATTAGAGAGACGGAGTGATGGTTTCCTTGTTAACCACTTTCCCACTTAGGCCTTGTTAGCACCAGAGCTCTCAGCTGTACCTATTATTGGTGACGGATGCTATGCTTGACTTTTTGAGAATTACACAGACGCATGCCGGTCTGGCAGATAAAGCACTGCAGCCTTCACTACTCTGAAGAAATAACTCCCATGAGCCGTGTATGAGAGATGAAGTGATGGTCCATATCATTAAAAAAAAAAAAACATTGACATAACTGTACTTCAGTTTGGAGACAGTAAACTTTTCAGTATATGTAATTCTTGTGCTATATGTTTAGTCTAGAGTATGGTCTGCATTTATACTCAGGTCAAACTATTTCTTTCTTAATACAATTTAAACTTAA